GCCTGAGCCACCCAGGTGCCTCTCGTGACAAAAAAAATTTAAAAAGCAAACTGGGAGAATTCTAAAATGCAAAGGATTGTAGGAGGAAATTTGAATTGTTGTAAAAGGAGTTGAAGGAAATATGAATATTCTGCCTGTACATAAATGTGCAATATTGCCTCTGTTTCCTGAGTACATTTCCTCACAAACTCTTCTGCCTTCCTTTTTTGTTAGCTTCCCTCTTCTTCCACGTGGGGCCAGCAGTCCAATACAACAGCGTGTCAGTCCCAGGCAACGCTGTCATTGGCTGAAATCCAAAAACTAGAAGAGGAACGAGAACGACAGCTTCGAGAAGAGGTAAATTTTAAAAGTAAAAGTGGTCTCGTCAAACAGTCTTCCAGAATAGTTGGTGTGCATCATGGGTGAGTGGTTAGTAAAGATCATGATTATTGTCAGAATTGCTGTGTGTCTGAATTGGATGTTCACTGTTAAACTCTTGAGCCTGTAATAGGAATAACATTAAGATTAGGTAACATGAATGTTCCTTTACCTTAAACATTTTGTTGAAGCTCTTGAGGAAGTAGCTCATAAATAAAAGTACATGGGTTTTTCAGATTTATGGTTTTTATGCAGATATCCTTCTTGTAAATTTGACTTTTAGAATGCAGAATACATTTTTTTTCCCTCTGAGGATATTGGGTTTTCTCACTAGCTAGAAAAACTTAAATATGACAGAAATAAAATCTTTCTGCTTGTAAGTCTATATCCTGTAGCTTATCATTAGGATAAGAAGGATATAGAAGAGTGAAATAAAGGGGGAAAAAGGAAGAATACAGTTCTTGACAAAAGAAAATGAATAAGTAAAATGGTTTGGTTAAGGTACCATATTAATTCATCTGTCCATCTATCCATCACATACTTGCTGACACCGGCTCAGTTATAGTCAGAGGATATGGCTGAGTCCTAAGACAGACAAAATTCTCTGAAGCCTGCCCTTGGGTTGAGGGGAGATGGATAAAAATTGGTGGTAGTGATTGATTGTCTAGTTTTAGGTAGTGTGATCTGGGAAGGTCTCTGAAAAGGTGGCATGGGGGGGTAGCAGAGTCTTGCAGAAAGTGTGTTATGTGGCTATGACTCGCGGCAGAGCAGTCAGTTTGTTTGAGAATGCAAGTTTTCATTTTTGGATCTGGGTGGTGTGGTTCACTGAAGGCCATGGCTACACAAAGAGAAGGGGGAGTTGTCTGAACATATTCACCGTGTAGTATGCTTGACCTTACCAATGGGTGATACTGTTTCTTCACCTTAATTACCTTATTTCCCACCCTCTAAAAAAAGAGACCACTTTCTCTGAAATCGTTTCTTTTCTAAAAGGTTATGTATCAACAAGTAGATGCAGAGCAGGGTATAACCACTCCCTTCAAGACTAGAAACTGTTCCAATATTTCTGGTCTCCACTGAATGAAAAAATACTAGTGATCATCAGAGTTGGAATCCCGGGTCTTGGCTTGTTCATCTTTGTCAGAAGTGAATGATCACCTTGGGTGCCGGGGTGGGTCAGTCGGTTAAGTGTGTGCCCTCGGCTCAGGTCATGATCCCAGGGTCCTGGGATAGAGCCCTGTGCCGGGCTCCCTGCTCAGCGGGGAGTCTGCTTCTCCTTCTCCCTCTGCTGCTTCCCCTGCTGTGTTCTCTCTCTCTCTCTCTCTCTAATAAAAAAAATCTTAAAAAAAAAAAAAAAAGAGTGGGGCGCCTGGGTAGCTCAGTCGTTAAGCATCTGCCTTCGGCTCAGGTCATGGTCCCAGGGTCCTGGGAGCGAGCCCCGCATCAGGCTCCCTGCTCAGTGGGAAGCCTGCTTCTCCCTCTCCCACTCCCCCTGCTTGTGTTCCCTCTCTCTCTGTGTCTGTCAATAAATAAAATCTTAAAAAAAAAAAAAAGTGAATAATCACCTCTGTATTTTCATTTGATTAATTCTCTTTCAGCTGTTAAGTTTTTCCTATACTCTTCAAGAGGTAGAAAATGCTACTCAGTAGATATTTCTTAGGTAGGGAAACCTAAGTTAATTGTATTTCATTCTTTTCCTGGAGGTACCCTTTGCATGAGCCCCTAACCTATTCAAATCTGGATGGTCTTAGTTTGCTGCACAGCTGTTCTGTTTTCTCAAATTCTTGCCATATGCATGTTGCCCTCTTGGACTGATTTTTATTTTTTCATACTTTCTCTCCTGTTTTTAATCTCTGTCTTTTTACCTTTTTTGATGGGAGTATTTCCTCGATCTTATGTTTTAATTCTTCTATTGAACTGTAATGTATGTGATCTTATTTGGAATTTCTCTGAGTCTTTAGTTTGTTCTCTTAGTGTTTCATTTTATAGCCTCTTACTCTTTCATTGAATTCACGTCTTACCTCTCTAAAATTACTAATATTTTTTTTAAAAGCTAGTCCCCATTTTCCCTTCTCTTGTTTCTTTTTCCATCGAATTTCATTTTTTTGATTTGGTCTTTGGCTTTCATCTTAGAAGTTCAGGTCAAATGTTTGTTGATCCTGAGCTCTTTGTTCATATATAGGATTAGAGGTTCTGTATATACAACACCTTGATGGGCTCCGCTGTAATGATCTCTGGCAGAGCTGTTCTGTTGGGGGAGTCCTCCCATCTCTTCGTATCTGTAGGTGTATTCTTTTGTGCTGGGGGGTCACCTTCCCTGCACAGTAATCACCGATCTGGCTCAGTCTCTCTAAAGAGGAATGTTCAGTTTTCTGCTAGGGAGAGGAATAGATAGCATCCCAACTGCATCAGGTTACGGAGGCAGTCTGGGGCCTTCCTGCTACTTTTTATAGACTTTCAGGCAGTTTTCCCTCTATTACCCACAGTTCTAATTACTGAGTTTTCTAGATGAATTGGCCTGTTTCTGAGCTTCCTTTACTTAGGTTTCAACTTACTGGGTCTGTTCCCTTGCGTACCGTTATTTGTCTGCTTTTCAGCCTTTAGGATCTATTCTGTTCTTTTTGTCCTTATGGGTTTATACTTTATAACAGTATATTCTTTCCTGTCATTTTGGTAAGGCTTTAGGAAGTTCATATGTATTTCATTTCTGTGCCTAACCAACAATACTACTTAATTTTTGAGAAGTAATTCTGCATTTGATCTTTTTATTCTCTCTTAGTACCTCTGGCAGTTTACATCTTTATTTGCAGCAAAGTAGCTAACCCTTTCGTGTGTTTAACTTCATATAGCTCTTACGTATTTGCATTCCATTTACCATACCGGACAGTAGTAACTAGTATTTTTGAAAACCAGAATGTTAAGCTAGCTTACTGTTGTGCAACAGCAGAGGCGCCAGCAGAGGGAACTGATGAAAGCTCTCCAGCAGCAGCAGCAGCAGCAGCAGCAGCAGCAGAAGCTCTCTGGCTGGGGGACTGTCAGCAAACCCGCAGGCACTGCCAAGTCGCTCCTGGAGATACAGCAGGAAGAAGCCAGGCAGATGCAGAAGCAGCAGCAGCAGCACCAGCAGCCAAACAGAGCCCGGAACAATACGGTGGGTTCATCTTCCTAAGCACTCATTGTATGGGTTGGTGTTAGAAGTTCTTTTTTCTGACTTTGGTGGACTCTCTTTTTAGTATTGTTAACTGCATCATTTGTCTCTTCTTCTTTAACAGCATTCCAACCTGCACACCAGCATTGGGAATTCTGTTTGGGGCTCTATAAATACTGGTCCCCCTAACCAGTGGGCATCTGACCTAGTCAGTAGTATCTGGAGTAATGCTGACACTAAAAACTCCAACATGGGATTCTGGGATGATGCAGTGAAAGAGGTGGGACCTAGGAATTCTACAAATAAAAATAAAAACAACGCCAGTCTCAGGTAGGGCTCAAAATGATCAAACCTATGCTTCTTGGAGGGTTGGGGGATGGGGCACGTGGGGAGTGGGATACTGGGTGGGCACGGAAAGATAGTTATTTAGTTTTTGCTTATTTTCATCTGTGTCCAAGCATGGGAGATTGTAGTTTGGTGATTGCTTTCTTCCCCATGGAAACACATCTGTATTATTACTAGGGGCTCTTTGTACTGCTGGGCACTTAGTCCATTGCCTGTCACATGGTAACCACTTAATAAATATTAGGAATAGTGTATTTTTGTTGTTGAACATTTCTCCAAGATCCTCTCTAGATCTTAGCATTTTTCTCTAAATTTATATTTTTTAAGTTAGCTAGAATATAGTATTATAAACACCTCTCTAATGACCTTAAACCTGTATATTTTTATGACAAATAAGTTACACTTTTACCTTTGTCTTTCTGTCCTCAGTATGCAGTGTTAATGAATGAGCATGGGTTTTAAGGATAAATATGTGAACTCAGTTCCCAGCACTGCCACTTATTAGCTGTGTGACCTGTGTGACCTTGGGCAAGAGGGAACCTCTTTGAGCCTCAGTTCCCTCATCTGTAAAATGAAGATAATAACGATGACTTCATGGGTGTAGTTGGACAGACTGAATGCGCACGAAGTGGTTAGTGAAGTGCCTGGCACATAGTAACTACTTAATAAATGGTAGTGTTGTCAGATTGTTTCTTCTTGTTTGACGGTCTAAAGTATTAAGAATAGGACTCTAAACAACTGTCAGCTTATTGAGCATCTTTGCCAGGCCTTTGCATACAGTATCTTGATTCCTTATGAGAAGTATTAGTACCATTTTACAGATGAGTGAACTGAGGCTTAGCAAAATTTAAAAACTCCCCAAAGGGCACATTGGAAGAATTGAATCATTTCTCTGGCAAGAAGCCCTATCTTCACAAATGAGAATGTATTAGCTGAGGCTAGTTTGTAAGAGGGTATTAAGTTCCCCCATCCCCAATCCAAATATTTGAAGTTTTTTTTTTTTTTAATTCGTTTTTGGACCCAAGCATTGGATTACTGGACAGCCATCCAGTGTTGCCAAGACATTATCTGTTTATGGTGTTGTAGTATAATCATATAGTAACAGTTTCTGGGAATATAATATCGCCCTATTGTTTTGCTTTAGTAAATCTGTAGGTGTGTCTAACCGGCAGAATAAGAAAGTAGAAGAAGAAGAAAAGTTGCTGAAGCTCTTTCAGGGAGTAAATAAAGCCCAAGATGGATTTACCCAGTGGTGTGAACAGATGCTTCATGCCCTTAATACGGCAAATAACTTGGATGGTAAGAATTGGGGAGGGAAACCCAGCATGTGGAATGGCAGAGCAGGACCCACAAAGAGGTTGACAGATTGGAATGATGGGCCAAAACTCAGGAGGTGAAAGCTAATGGAGATCAAATCCTGTATCTACCATAAGAACTTGACTCTTTAACGGTATTATAAGTACTACTTGTGAGAAAAGTCCTGTAATATTGTACTCAAAAAGGTTCTCAGTGGTTGCCAAAAAGTAAATGGTATCTCAGGCTGTCTTAATAAATGTGCAGGACAGAGGAGGTCATAGTTCCATATAGGTCATTTTATGGGGGACATTTCCAGCCAGGCCAAGTCCAAAGAAAGGTAACTCATGGTGGAGACAAAGGTCATCCTGGGCAAGAGAAGGCTGAGGTGATCTTTCCCTTCCTGCCTTTGGGGGTGGGGGTGGGAATCATGTGCCAGAGCAAGTAGACTTATTTTGTGCACAGTGAAACTAGGACCAGGGAGTGGAAAAGGTTTCAGTGCGATTTGAAGAAAAACTTGCTAATTGTTACTTGATCACAAAGAGAATTTTCTGCCTTAGATGGAAGTGAGTCCCTGCCCTGACCCCAGATGTTTGAACCAGAGACCAGTCAGCTTGGTGTGGAAGATTTGGATTCCTGTAACTGATAGGCTGATTTGAAGTTACCACTTCCAATGTCTTAACTAAAACCAAGAATCTTATAAAAACAGAGTAGTAAAGGAATGGAAGAATTCCTTTGCAGCATTGTAACAATATCTTACAGTCTGAAAGAGCCAGGGGGAAAATAATAAATAATAATAAATAATGGCCAGCTACCATTCATTAAGCACCTATCATGTGCTAGGCACTTTCTAGCAGTTAGCATAGGTTATTCCAGTTATTTAATTTTTGCAGTAATTTCATAAGATACCTTTACAGTGTAGGTGATATTATCCCCATTTTATAAATTAGGAAACAGAGGCTCAGATTGGTTAAATAACTCATCAAGGTCACACAGCGAGCAAACTTCAGAGTCAGGATTTTAACCCATGTCTGTCTAACTCTGATACTTGTGCTTTTTCTGCTGTACCACACTACTTGCATATTCCTCTAAACATGATACCTCAGTAAAGTGAAAGTTCCCGGAGGGTACGGCTATATTTTTAGCATCTGTCATGGTGCCTGACACACATCATAGCACTTAATAAATATTGATTGAATTTAAGGAAAGAAAGAATGATTTTCCAGATGACTTCTGTCTTAGGCAAGCAGTTGTTTTTAGTCAACGTAACATGCAGTTTTCACCAACATAACATTTAGTGAAACTAAACATGCGTGATGTGTCTTTGTTTGACTCTGTGCTATTTGAGATAATTTGGGGCATTGCAGTGACAGTGGGCTTTTTTTTTTTTCTCTCTCCTCTGCAGAGTAGGTTAAAGAATATTTAACACAGTAGCTGCATACCTTTCAAGTTTGCATCATTAAGAGTCGGCAGTAGGTGTGACAGTATAATAAAAACTGAAGCTGAGTCTTTGCATGTGATATTTCATTGTTACTCTTCATGTCTTCTCCCCTCTCATGTTGCAGTTCCCACTTTTGTTTCTTTCCTGAAAGAAGTAGAATCTCCTTATGAAGTCCATGATTATATTAGGGCCTATTTAGGAGATACCTCTGAGGCCAAGGAGTTTGCCAAGCAGTTCCTCGAGCGCCGCGCCAAACAGAAAGCCACCCAGCGGCAGCAGCAGCAGCAGCAGGTACGAGGCAGTGGCGTTGGCGCCGTAGCCCTGCGAGTGAGTAGTAATACCTTGAAGTACTGAGCAGCCAGAGAAATGAAAATTAAAACAAAAGATACTGTTTTTGTACATCAGATGACCATAGCTTCTTAAAATGTGGTAGATTTCAAATGATATGTCCAGAGACTTCTGCGAATTTCCCAAATAGCAAATGAAATCATTCTCTGTTAGGCATACTAGTTGCATTTTCCTTGGTTCGTATATGTGCCTCAAATTGCAAATTCCAACTTGTCACAGACCCATACGTTTTTTTGGATAGTTAAAACCTACAAATGTTAAATCTCCAGTGCTCAGGATGCACTGTACCCAATATTGACAATACCATAACATGCCAGACATGTCAAATGTTGTTGATGGGGATGTAAAAGGTACAGTCAGTTCTCATTATTTGTGGTAGTTATGTTTTGTAAAGTCGCTGCTAAAGCTGAATTAGCGATTACTGAACTGTTGGTCCAGGGAAAACATCCAGTTAGATTTTTGGAACCTCTGATCACAACATTTTTGTCAGCTGGTCAATATGTTATTTTGTTTTATGCGTGTTTCTGTTTAAGATGCCTTATTTAATATACTGTTGATTCCTTAACATTGAACTCATGGCCAGCAGCACTAGAACTGACGCCTGAGTGAAGCTCATCATTTTCTCCATAAGGCATGTCACAGCCTTTTTGGAACACCAGACAGTACTTAATACTTGGGGGCCATTTTGTTTTATTTTATTTTTTAGATTTTGTTTATTTATTAGAGAGAGTGTACGCACGAGAGAGAGCGAGCGGGGGCAGAGGCAGAAGGAGAGGGAGAAGCAGACTCCCCGCTGAGCAGGGAGCCCAACCTGGGGCTCCATCCCAGGACCCTAGGATCATGACCTGACCTGCAGACAGATGCTTAACTGACTGAGCCACCCAGGTGCTCCTCTTGGGGGCCATTTTAAACAGTGACGGCACCAACAAGCATAAAATGTGAACATCAGTACACTACGGAGACTGAAAAAGATGCTCGTTTACTATATGAGAACTGAGACAAGAGGGCAGAATACTGCCCTGTTCCACCTCAACTGGGAATGTGTTCCTCAGGCAACTCAGATTTTTCACTGCTCTGGACATTTGCGTGTTCAGGAAAACCATAAAAGCACTGCAAGTTTTGATTTTGGGGTTAACAAATAAATTACAGCCAGTAAGTGAATTTGCAAATATGGAATCTGTGAATAATGAGGATCAGTTGTACAAGTTTTCCGACAGATGAGGTGGCAAAGCTCATGAAGAGCTTAAGAATATTCATATCCTTTAATTCTATAATTCTGCTAGAGATAATGTTCGTTATATCGGTCATTTCTGGGGATATAAAAGATACAGTGAAGTACATGGCATTTAAAATCCATTTGGGGTGCCTGGGTGGCTCAGTCATTAAGCATCTGCCTTCGGCTCAGGTCATGATCCCTGGGTCCTGAGATCGAGCCCCGCATTGGGCTCCCTGCTCAGCGGGAAGCCTGCTTCTCCCTCTCCCACTCCCCCTGCTTGTGTTCTCTCTCTTGCTCTGTCTCTGTCTGTCAAATTAATAAACAAAATCTTTAAAAAAAATAAAATAAAATCCATTTGAGTAGATGGGCTAACAGGGATTAAGTGAAAAATGTCAACATAAACAGCACTAGGAAAAATAATCAGAAGGGAAGACATCGTAGAGCAATACAGAAAGTTTTTACGTTTGTGAAATAGCTACCCCTGTGTGCTGAAATTGGAAGTTGGGGCCCACTATGCGTGCGCATGTGCCTGTAGCCAGGCTTGGCCTTCCACAGTGCTTTCTCCACTCTTCCTCCTCACACTGCCACTACCTGTGCCTTCAACTAGCTCACTGAATCTGATCCCAGTTTAAAATGAATTGCTCTAATAAGAGCAACAGGTAAGTGTGAATGGCTGGTAGACTATTTCATCGTTGAACCAGTTGGTAGACAATGTATGGATATTTGGGGACCAGATTTCTTCTAGGATTGCCCATAGGAATAAAGTACATGATACTAATTTTGTTTGGTAACATGCTGCCAGCTAGTGTGCAGGCTGTCCTTTCTGTCCTAGGGCTCAGAGACGGAGGAACCTTATGCTTTGGTAGGTGAGGGGTATAAATTGCTGGAGCACAGAGGTCTGTTGTGATTATTTGCTGTATATTTAATTTCCTAGTGGATGGTACGGACTCCATGTATACCAGAGAGGTTTTGACAGCTGTGTTGTCACAATGGGATGAAAACCTGGAGCTACCAGGATGGGCCTTTTGGAGGCCCAGAGCTTAAGTGGGATGTCTGAATCTAAATGAGGGGAAAGGGTGGCTCAGTGGACTCTCCTTGGTTTCATTATTACCAGAATCCATGATAAGACTTCTGTTTTTAATCTTATACTTGATAAAGTGAGGGCCAATCAACCATTTTCTTAGAGTGGGCCGCACTTGCATCCACTGTGTAACCTCAGTTGTGACATCTTATCTCACAGGACTCTGTGTGGGGAATGAACCATAGTGCACTCCATTCAGTATTTCAGACCAATCAAAGCAACAACCAACAATCCAATTTTGAGGCCGTACAAAGTGGCAAGAAGAAGAAAAAGCAGAAGATGGTCCGAGCAGATCCCAGTTTATTAGGTGAGCAAAGCCTAAAGTCTCAGGTGGGTGTTGGAGGTGTGCAGGTTATAGCAGTATTATATGTGAGTCTCCTGGTGGAATGTTTTTCATAAAGGGAAATATTTTTTATATAAAATTAATTTTTTAAACCACTTTGAAATAGGTAATATTTACTGGGCCCATCAGTACAAGAGCGATGGCTCATTGCTATAGGGAACAAGAAAAGTAATTACTTATACTGTGTGGTGCTTTAAACTTTGAAGCCTTATTTCATATATAATATGAATTTCCCTAGAAGGCCTTTCAGTTTAGTTGGAAAATAATGCTAATGGAGAAAAGGAAAAGTTGTAAAAATTTAAATGCTGATTTGTATAGAAGCTGACCATAAATCCAATCAGGTTTTCAAACAATATTTGTTGATACCCATTACATATGTGTATATATATATACCTGTGATTTTCAGAGTCACTCTGCATTATGAGATCATGTTCCAGTTTACCAATGAGTAAACCAAGGCCCTGAGGGTTTAGAACATTTTCCAAAGTCACCCAGCTGTTCAGCAGTGGGGCTGGGATTTCAGAGGATGCCTGTTTTCTTTCCACTCTTCTGTTAGCCACAGCTATTCTCGTCTAGTGTTGAGAACCAGAGTCTTCACACAAGGCAGCTTCATGGAAATGGTGACACCAGAATTGGGGCTTTGAAAGACTGGCGGGAAGGACAGACAGTGGTGTTTCTGGAAGAATAAACAGTCTAGGCAAAGCAGATGCAGGCTGTTTATGAGTTTCTTAAATTGGCCCAACAGCCTCACAGACAATGATGAAATTAAAATGATTTTCTGTTTATGAATGTAGAGTATTAAAAACCGTGCTGTCTGGAGTAGAATGATTATATTGGCAAAGATGGCAGGTTGGGATGTTGGCCCAGGCAGGAGGCAGAGTGGTTAGGAGGCTGCAATGTAGACCAGGTGAAAGATCCTGGTGGCCTGGAGAATAGGGTTTTGGCATTAGAGATGGGGAGGAATTAGGTGGGTTTTAGAAACTTAGGGGACTGAATTGGCAAGACAAGAGGAATGGAAAGGTTTGGGCAGCAGGATGGGTAGTGTTGCCATTTGCTAAAAGGATGAGCCCTGGAAGATGGAGCAGGCTTATGGGGTAATGATACGGAGTTGAAATTTGTTGGGTGGGTCCAGTGTGAAATGCCTATGAGACTTCAAGTGGAGATGCCCTTGTGAAAGAGCAGAGAGCACAGCAGGAGGGGAATTGCCATCCTACCCTGCCGTCCGTAGGGTCCCTGCCTTCCCTCATAGGTTTCCTACTCTGGAGAGAACAAAATGTCAGTAACAGAAACCTAACTTCGAGGCTTGCCCTTTGGAACTGGGGCCTGAAAGCTGGCTTGGGAACAGAGAGAGATCTGGTGAAATTCTGTTTTCTTCTGCCTCAGAATTGCAATTTATTTATTTATTTATTTTGCCTGTCTTAGAAATTTATGTTAAGAGTAGATGGAACCAGCCTAACATTTTATCCAGTTTTGACAGAAGTGGGTAAATACAGATTTACAAGTGTCCCTGAAATTCTGGGTGTGGGTTCTAGCCAAGAAGCTCCTTGTTGCTCTTCAGCTGTGGCACTGAAAGGGTAGGCTGCAGGGAAAAGGTTCCTCTGAAAATGCGGTGTAAAGCTCTGTGAGTTGAATATTCAATCTGACTCCATCCCTATTACAGACACCAGAAAGAAAGGGACTTAAAACACTCTTCAGGGGAATGAGAGGTTTTTTAAGGAATAGAGTTTAAGGAATGTATATATGTTGAAGGAACAGAAAATATATATATATATATAAGGGAAAGGGAAGTAAAAGTTCAACAGAATATTGAGAAAACTCACTTGTGTAGGCTTGGACCTTTTTTTTTTGTTTTTAAAGATTTTATTTATTTGAGAGAGAGAATGAGAGAGAGAGAGCACATGGTGGGGGGGAGGGTCAGAGGGAGAAGCAGACTCCCTGCTGAGCAGGGAGCCGGATGTGGGACTTGATCCCGGGACTCCAGGATCATGACCTGAGCTGAAGGCAGCTGCTTAACCAACTGAGCTACCCAGGCGCCCTAGGCTTGGACCTTTTTATGAAAATTTCTGCTCAACTAGATCTCTCTCTGATAATTACTAATTTCTGCCCCTTACCTACTCATTTCTACCTATTACTATTTTTAATTGATTTACAGATTGAGGACAAATTAGTAAATGTCCACCAGTCACAGTTTGCCAAGCACAGAATGAGACAGTTCTAATTTGATCAGAAAGCATCCGTCGAGAAAGTAGTCACTGATGGAAAGAGAACTTTGCTTTTAAAACAGACCATCAGAGAGGCCCAGCCTCATTTTAATGATCCATCACCTCCATTGTGTCTTCTCTGTAGTTTTTAGAGCTACCAGGTGCCAGTGTGAACCAGCCTCCATTACTTGGATATGATAAATAGTCCACACACAATGGCATTTTCCTCCTGTCATACTTTACAGCCTCTCAAACCTTAAGAAATCATGCGAGTGAGACGTAGTCAGTTCTGATCCTAACAGAATGTCTTTAGAGCCAGGCAAAGTGGGCTTAAATCCTCCTTTGTATTGCCTTGTACTTCGTGGATCCCAGAGCTTTCCTGTCTGTCAGATGTGGAGTAGACATGCTTTTATGACTGGTCAGTGAGACACTGTGTCTGCTAAAAGCTTAGCCCAGTAAGCAACATACTGTAGTCATGAACAAGTAACTTTTTTTGGCGGGGGGGCCCAGGCTGCTGCTTTTTTCCTGTCTTTGCATGATTAAAATTTAAGTTTGTGTGTGTGTTTTTAAGTTTTTTTTTTTATTTCTTTGAGAGGGCACAAGCAGGGGGGAGGGGCAGAGGGAGAGGGAGAAGCAGCCCCTCTGCTGAGCAGGGAGTCCCATGCGGGGCTCCATCCCGGGACCCTGGGATCATGACCTGAGCGGAAGGCAGATTCTTAACCAACTGAGCCACCTAGGCGCCCCGTTTGTGTTTTTATTACATTTCTGCTTTTATCACATGTAACTCGTTTTTATCACAGTTCATCTGTTCCTGAGATACATGTGAAGTCAAAACCTTGCTTCAGAATAGAGTAATAGCTCATTTCATAGGCTGTTTGGTTTTTAAGTTTTAATACTTACCTAATTAAACTGTTATTTCCAAATAGGGACACTAAGCCTTTCATTATTTTCAAGGGAAAAGGTCTTGTGGGTTGTGGCAATGTTGTTTATGGGTAGAGCTGAGGCTGGGGTTAGGAGCCGTGGCCTCTCCTAGTCTTAGGCCTTATAAGCAGCTTGTACCATAGCTTCCTTGGTTAATAAATAGTCACGTTATTGTTTTCAAATCATGATATTTTGAGTCAAGAATATAATATAAATAAGCTATTTTTATTATATAGGACTTTATTATTGGTACATTTAAAATGTGTCTTTGAAAACTTGAACATTTAAAGAGCAAAAAGGAGGGGGCAGAACACAAGTAATATTAACTGCTTTTAGATAGGAGAGCATTGCCTGTTTACTTTTTGATATTCAAATAGCAGCTGAAACAGTTTGAGATTTCATTTACGGTGGATGAACTGAAAGCTCTTTGGGAGTCATTCATTCCAAGGAAGCCCTGTTAATACTTTTTATCAATCTTTGATTATGGAGTTATAGAAAAATTACATACATGTGGCTGATGGGATTAGGTTTTCAACTTTAGTAGTGTTTGTGATTACTGTTCTTGCCTTCAGTGGTGGTGCTTATACTGCTTTCTGTAAACCAGATTCCATTTTGGTTAATCAATATGGCTAACTGAAATCCTTTCCTTTGCAAGCCTACCTGTAATAGGTTGAGTCGAACAAAGTACTTTAATCTTTTTGTGCTGTCTACCCTGTGACAAAACATCTGAGGGCTATAAGGATCTGGTAGTGGATCTTCCCTGAAGCCTCCTACCCTCGAATAGCAAAAGCCAAAACTTTGAAAAGGTTTTTGACCCAATGAGGGGGGAGAAATGTATTCCCAATAGTTAGTGGGACTGAAGTAGTATTACTCCCACTTAGATTTCACAGTCATATGGTCAGGTAGTTATAAAGTACTTGGTATGTGTTATTTCTGTCCTTCCCCTGCCCCCATCTCTGTTAAGATTCACCTCCCGAATGAACTTTCCCCACTGGCTAGCCTCAGTTGGCTTTAACACGTGCTCACAGCCCAGATTCTTCTCAGGAATCTCTAACGCACTAGTTTGGAATTCTTTTTTTCCCTCCCTACTTAATTATACCAGAACCCTAAGAAATACATAAAAACGAAGAATCTCTCATTAGAAGAGCAGAACACCACTCTCTGACCTTTATCCTTCCTTCTTCTTCCCTCCTTTAGTATCTCTATGGCTAAAGCAGGAGAGACTTCCATTCCAGCCCACTGCCTGGAATTTGAGCCCCATGGTTGTCTGGATGTGGTCACTCATTGCCAATTTTTTCCGGCAGGGTTTTCAGTCAATGCTTCATCAGAGCGACTCAATATGGGTGAAATCGAGACTTTGGATGACTACTGAGCACCTGCCAGTGGACTGGCCTTCCTTCTCCTCTCTGCTGACCATGGATTCTCCACCTTTGGACACAACACTTACTCACCATTTACTCTATATCACTCTGCAACAAATCACAGAACCGATCATCTCAGGCTTTTTCTTCTAGCCCTTTGTGTCCAAGATTCTTTAAACTGTTTTTGTTGGTGAGCATCTCAGACTGTAGATAAGTGGACCGGACCCTGTGTCTTGGGGGTGGCAGTTGGGATTACTCCCCAACAAGGCTGATTTTGGGCAGCACCTGTTTACTGTGCCGTGATTTCATCTACTGTGTCCCAGAAAGTGTGTTGGGATCTGCCAATAGCTATTTACTTTCTTATGTCACCTTTTTCCTTTCTATATATTCTTTTTCTTCTTCTTTTTAACCCCCGGTAAGGGCAAAGGGTCTAACTGGTGCAGTCATGAAGAGAGTTAATGGTAACAGACATTGACCAGCAACACCATGCCACGGACTGTGACTTTTGAGTGTCTGACAAGGCAGTCAGAGCGCCCCCAGTCTGAAGGTTGCATTGCCACTGCTAACTTTGGGATTGCATCAAAGAGGCCCTGAGTGGGGTGGAGTTTAGATTGGATTGGTTTGATGTTGCACACCCCTCGCCTGTTCTTTCTGAGCATCCTTTTGGAGAAAGGATTCCTGTTTTTCTTCATTAGATAGTGACTTCCAAGCAAGCTGACTTCTCCCTTGGCATTCTCCAACCTGATTGGACAAAGGAAACCCTATGGCCTGGGAGAAGGACTTATTCTTAATTTTTCCTTTCTTACAAAAACTGATTTTTCCCATAAATATTTTTACTTCAGAGGACTAGGACCAGTTTGTTTTGGGCCTTTCTGCTGAAAATTTGTCTCGTTTAAGAGGCAGCTAGGATCTTTACCATATGTATGAATTTGTATAATTTCATTTTGGATAGGGATAAACTTTTGCTTCTGATAAAAGCCCGGAATTTCATCTGGTTCCTCAGAGCATTACGTGTGTGTCTTGCTGTGGCCCCAAAAGGTTTTGTTTAAAGATTCTGGAATGGCAAGTTGCTTGCCTTTTCTGAAAAGAAAACATACAAAACCTAAGCATCTTTATAAGACCTTCATCCATGGAAACCACTACACAGGAGAATGCAGTGGGATGGAGGGGATGGGAGAGAATGGGAGAAGAGAAGCCTGCTTCTGGCTTCTGGTCATGGCCTCCGAACACCCCTTCACTTCAGTTATAAATGTATTCAAGTCCTATTTATAAACCAGTACTCTTCCTGCCTCCCCCAGCCCCTGCAGAACATCACTCTGGAATTGCCAATCACACTTTGGTCTGGAGCCATTGCACCATCCGTCCCTGTGTGAGAAGTGCTATGGTTCGGGTGGCTCCTGGTAGAGCACCTTTTCTTTCTGTCATCATTGCCTGAAGAAGGCTGGAGTTGCTCTGAGAGCATTTTGGTTTTGGCTGATTATATTTGGTTCCTATTTTTATTCTTTGGATCACCATTCTCCCTATCCCTTCTTGCCTCCCTCCCACCCTCCCTCCCAAACATGTACAATAACTATACAGAGACTGCTACAAACTTGTATATAGTTTTTGGATCAAATAGCATGAGGAGATGGGGAACCATTAAAAGTTGGGACTCCGGCTCTCCTTTGCTTTGTAAATTCAAAAGTGGGGGGTGGGGAAGAGGGATAGTTAAAATGTTTACAAAACTTTAAGCTCCCTCGGAACTTTTGCCAGTGTGGAGGAAAATAAAAAAGAACTTAAATAAAACATGGTGGTATTCTGTCTGAGCGCACCTCCTCTGCTCACCTTTGTCAAGGCTAAGTCTTGCACTAAACTGTTCTCTTGGCACCATGAAGAGGCTCCAAACACATGAGCACCTGAGACATGGAGGCAGCCATGGCTTTTCCTGCCAGCCTATGGAACACTGGCTGGTTCTGTGTTTGGGAATGTGGAGGTCAAGATAAACACGGGTAAGTTGGACCAAACGTCTTTACTCCTTTCACTGTCCCTTTCTGCTGACTCGTGGATCGTCTCCTGCCCTCATACCACAGACACACCCTCTGAATGTGCCTTCCAGAGCCTGCCCACACCTTCCAAACTAGACTCCACTGTGTGCTTGTGCCGGAAAAATAAAAACAAATACAAAATTAAAACACAAACATTTGGGGTGGGGTAGGTGGATTTGGGGTAGCAAAGTCATCTTTATCACGGAACATTCCATTTACTTAACCAAGAACCTTGCTTCTACTTGAGGAATTTCCCACTTAGTGGAAAGAAACCACTCTTCCCCAGGAATGTTCTTCTGTCTCAGTCCTGCTCTTTTTCACAACTGACTTCAACCACCACGTTATGTCCCTTTCTATAAACTTACTTGCAAATTATCTTAACTCTTTCTGAGTTTTAAAGTATTTGTTTTGTACGTGGTTTGCTTTTACTTATTTTAATTTGGAGGTTTAAACATACCCAAACAAGATAGCTTGATTATGGAGACGTTCCCCTAGATAGTTGGTGTTCTGGTTACTCTTGCTGCCTAACAAATTACTCCAAACTTACTTAAAACAACCCCTTAATTTTGTTGGTAATTTTATGAGTCATGATTTTGGGGAAGGGCTCAGCTGGGCAGTTCTCCCGTGGGGCCTCCTCTGATTGTGGTCAGATGTCAGCTGGGGCTATAATCTTGGGAAGGTTCGATAATGTTGGCTGGCCAAGATGGATCACTCATATGACTGGCAGTTGATTCTGGCTGTTGGGTAGGAGCTCAGCTGGGTTCATGGCTGGAGGAACTATATATTCCTCTTCAGCGTGATATTTTCAGAGTAGGTGGGCTTCTTAGGTGGCAGTTGGCTCCCCGCCAGAGGAGAACCAAGCGGAGGTTGCATCACCATCTCTGACCTAAACTCAGAAGTTACATAGTGTCACTTCTGTGATACTTTTATTCTGTCAAAGTCCCCACACACCCACTGAGACTCAGGAGGCTGGGAACATGGGACCCTCTCCATCCTTGATGAAAGAAATAAGGTCACATTGTAGGAAGAGCATGTGGGTTGGGGGAATGTCGTTGCCACTTTGGGTAATTATCTGCATAAGATGAGTTTATGCATGTACATCAAGGAGTTTTCACTCTCCATTGGTTATAAGTTGAGGGATTATTTTTTAATTTCAGAATAGATAATAGTACTCTGGCTTTATCTTAAGCTAATTTCTCTTAGGCAACCATTTTATAAAGAGGTATTAATGTGTCCTTTCATAAACTTTTTTTTATAAATAGTCTTAATAAGATTTTATTTATTTGACACAGAGAGAACAAGTAGGCAGAGAGGCAGGCAGAGGGAGAGGGAGAGGCACGCTCCCCGCTGAGCAGGGAACCTGATGCTGGGCTTGATCCCAGGACTCTGGGATCGTGACCTGAGCCGAAGGCAGCGGCTTAACTGACTGAGCCACCCAGGCGCTCAATAAACACTATTTTTTAAATTGATCAGATAAAGAATTTGGAATTTGTTTTATACAAAATGCCCTCTGCATTATTAATAAGAATAAAAAGTCTGTGTATGACAGAAATGCTACCGTGGAGTGAAGCGGTCTCTCCTGTGCTTCCAGTGTGGGAAGTAGAACCTCCCTCATGAGAGCATCAGGCATGCGCATTCCAAAGAGTGTGTTACAGCCAGGAGCACATTCCATATGGAAGTTGGGCTCCTAGTTGATAGGTTTCATGGAGAAGAAATAGCCCAGCTCTGGAGATGGCTTTGACCCTGCTTGAGTGCAGGCAATTCTAATGAGGAAGCTGCACTGCTTGCTGGGACGGTAGGGAGCCTGGGAACCTGGAAGCAGCCAGATGTGTGATGTTTACTTTAAGGATGTCATTGGATGTCCTGGGAATGAAGAACCTATACAGCTCTTGGTAGTGCCAGTTCCAGACCAGGAACCTTTGAGAGGAGGGTTTCCCTCCAGAGATTAATTAGTGGGAATGTTTTGCAACTAAAACCGTATAGCCATGCTTCACTGTATGGGAGGAACAGCACATAGATGCCGGGAAGCAAGGGAAGAGAAGTGGGCTCTTTCCCTCATTGTTGCTCTGTAGCCTAAAATCTGTCACTGCCCGCATTTCGTTGCTGGCAAAGGGATGACATCACAAGGATGAAACTCAGAATAGCTTCAATACTCAGTTCAGTCCAGCTGGTCTTAAGCAGAGCCATCGTTTATTTCTTAAAGATTGTTTACTTGTCCCCCAGGTGTAGGAGTGGTAGATTAGTGTCCCTTGACCAAAAATTATTTTTTCCTTTGAATTCCTCTTTTAGTGTGAGAAATGGTCCTGAAAATTGTCAGTGGGTCAGTATTAGGTTTGGTTGCATGTAAGACAAAAAGCAAACAAAGGGATTTAAACAAGATGGTTTATTTCTCAAGTAAAATCCGGATGCTGGCATATTGCTCTGGGGCCTGGGTTCTTTTTTTTTTAAATCCTTGATTGTGGCTTCCATACTCACGGTCATTCATGGTCCAAGGTGACTGTTAGAGCACCAGTCATCAAACCCTGTATTCCAGGGAGGAGGAAGGAGTGGGGTGGGGCAAAAGGAGCACTCCTCCCTGCTTACTCAGCCCTCTTATAAGGAGCTTTTTTGGGAGCCCCGTCCAACATCTTAAGTCTTACTGGTCCGAACATAAATATGTAACTATAGTTCATTGCAAGAAAGACTGGAAATTTCAGGATTTTAGTTGACTGCTTTACCACTCCAAATACCACTGGGGTGCTGTTTCTAAGAACTGGGGAGAATGGATATTGGTGGTTAGCAGTCTCTAATGCTAATTTTCTCTAGTCTTCTGTTTTGAAGTTGCAAAGATTGGGGATAGTTTGTGCACGTTGACCATGGGAAAGGAATCCTGACAACTACCCCAATTTGGCCTGTGGACCGAGAATCTCAGCCTTTCCAATGAGGAGGCTCCCAGAACAGGTTCTGTTTCCATTCTTGTGCAGAGCTGGGAACCCAGAGCAGTTTCGAAAGGCCCAGCCTTGCTGTGTCTGGCAGGACAGTCTGAGTGGGGAAGCATCGCCTACCTGATGATCTGTGAGGTTTCATTCAGCTCTGACCTCCGGAGTATGTTAGTGTGATCTGTGTGTGCACCTGCACGTTCTTGCAGCATACTGCTGA